TATCATACCAATATTGATGTTAAAACACATTCACAAGTCACGTACATTACATAGACATTTGATTCGTTTATCATACCAATAATGATGTTAAAACATTCACAAGTCACGTACATTACATAGACATTTGATTCGTTTATCATACCAATAATGATATTAAAACATTCACAAGTCACGTACATTACATAGACATTTGATTCGTTTATCATACCAATAATGATATTAAAACATTCACAAGTCACGTACATTACATAGACATTTGATTCGTTTATCATACCAATAATGATATTAAAACATTCACAAGTCACGTACATTACATAGACATTTGATTCGTTTATCATACCAATAATGATATTAAAACATTCACAAGTCACGTACATTACATAGACATTTGATTCGTTTATCATACCAATATTGATATTAAAACATTCACAAGTCACGTACATTACATAGACATTTGATTCGTTTATCATACCAATATTGATATTAAAACATTCACAAGTCACGTACATTACATAGACATTTGATTCGTTTATCATACCAATAATGATATTAAAACATTCACAAGTCACGTACATTACATAGACATTTGATTCGTTTATCATACCAATATTGATATTAAAACATTCACAAGTCACGTACATTACATAGACATTTGATTCGTTTATCATACCAATAATGATATTAAAACATTCACAAGTCACGTACATTACATAGACATTTGATTCGTTTATCATACCAATAATGATGTTAAAACATTCACAAGTCACGTACATTACATAGACATTTGATTCGTTTATCATACCAATAATGATATTAAAACATTCACAAGTCACGTACATTACATAGACATTTGATTCGTTTATCATACCAATAATGATATTAAAACATTCACAAGTCACGTACATTACATAGACATTTGATTCGTTTATCATACCAATAATGATGTTAAAACATTCACAAGTCACGTACATTACATAGACATTTGATTCGTTTATCATACCAATAATGATATTAAAACATTCACAAGTCACGTACATTACATAGACATTTGATTCGTTTATCATACCAATAATGATATTAAAACATTCACAAGTCACGTACATTACATAGACATTTGATTCGTTTATCATACCAATATTGATATTAAAACATTCACAAGTCACGTACATTACATAGACATTTGATTCGTTTATCATACCAATAATGATATTAAAACATTCAGAAGTCACGTACATTACATAGACATTTGATTCGTTTATCATACCAATATTGATATTAAAACATTCACAAGTCACGTACATTACATAGACATTTGATTCGTTTATCATACCAATATTGATATTAAAACATTCACAAGTCACGTACATTACATAGACATTTGATTCGTTTATCATACCAATATTGATATTAAAACATTCACAAGTCACGTACATTACATAGACATTTGATTCGTTTATCATACCAATAATGATGTTAAAACATTCACAAGTCACGTACATTACATAGACATTTGATTCGTTTATCATACCAATAATGATCATTAAAAACATTCACAAGTCACGTACATTACATAGACATTTGATTCGTTTATCATACCAATAATGATATTAAAACATTCACAAGTCACGTACATTACATAGACATTTGATAGACATTTGATTCGTTTATCATACCAATAATGATATTAAAACATTCACAAGTCACGTACATTACATAGACATTTGATTCGTTTATCATACCAATAATGATATTAAAACATTCACAAGTCACGTACATTACATAGACATTTGATTCGTTTATCATACCAATATTGATGTTAAAACATTCACAAGTCACGTACATTACATAGACATTTGATTCGTTTATCATACCAATAATGATGTTAAAAACATTCACAAGTCACGTACATTACATAGACATTTGATTCGTTTATCATACCAATAATGATATTAAAACATTCACAAGTCACGTACATTACATAGACATTTGATTCGTTTATCATACCAATAATGATATTAAAACATTCACAAGTCACGTACATTACATAGACATTTGATTCGTTTATCATACCAATAATGATGTTAAAACATTCACAAGTCACGTACATTACATAGACATTTGATTCGTTTATCATACCAATATTGATATTAAAACATTCACAAGTCACGTACATTACATAGACATTTGATTCGTTTATCATACCAATAATGATATTAAAACATTCACAAAGTCACGTACATTACATAGACATTTGATTCGTTTATCATACCAATAATGATATTAAAACATTCACAAGTCACGTACATTACATAGACATTTGATTCGTTTATCATACCAATAATGATATTAAAACATTCACAAGTCACGTACATTACATAGACATTTGATTCGTTTATCATACCAATAATGATATTAAAACAGTCACAAGTCATGTACGTTACATAGACATTTGTATGCACAGGCGTTTTGAGCAGTATATTTCGATATTTTCGTTTTTACAGTAATCGTCATTAAGGCAATTTCTATGTTTGAATTGCGTTAAATATGTCCCCATAGTTGCGATAGTCCTGTCTTGTTTGCTGTGTACTGCGCACAAACGCATCCCAAAGTGCTTGTAAACGTTTGTCATAAAAATAGAAAACGATACATGAAAACTTCATGAAGAAAGTGTTCCACGTTATGCACGTGCAGTGGGTTGGAAACAGAAACAGAGACATACACTATTAAAGGCAAAACCAAATTCATCATTTCATTACGAATATATACGACGTAAACGAAGATGAAAAATGACAGGATTGAATGCTTCTGACCGAAGTATTGCCATTTCGTTTGGAAGCAGGGGAGTCCCAGTCTGTCGTTGTGAGCTAGATACTTTAAAGCCTGCCACAGAACCCGCTTCAAGATCGTCCAAGAAGTGGAAGGCCAAGAGTGACCACTCCTGCTCAGTACCGAATCATCCGGATGTTTCATCTACGTCACCGATTTGCTACAACAACGGACACTGCAGGACAGGTGTCTGGTCTTCGAAGAATCAGAAGTCTTGTGAGAGAAGTGGGAATTCGAGCATATCGACCAAACGCTGGACGTGTCCTGACACGACTACATCGACAACGACGTGTCCAGTGGAACTGGCGATGTGTTTGCTCCAGCGATGAATCGCGTTTCCTCCTCAATGGGAGGAGACAACATGTACCTACCTGTATCTGTATAGGTTCTCAGGCGGACACAATTCTGAGTATTATGCTGGGGGTTGAGTGGTGCGCATGCGCTGGTTAGTGTCTAATGACTGTTGTGAAAACATCACAACTAGGTGTCTGTACTGTCTCGTCAGGGACTGGGGTCCAGTCTTGTATTGTCCTTGGGTAAAAGGATTGCTTCAACGTCTCTGTGTTACACTGCACGTGTTTAAAGTTCAGTGTATTATGTTTCCTAGTTCAAGTGTTGGGGATCAGAGTTTGATCTTTTGGTATTGCCACTAGCCCATTCACTATCTTGTAAAGTAGTACAGGACTTTGTTCCCTACGTCGTTCTTTGAGGGGGTCTTAAGCCAATGTTTCTAGCATCTTAGTGACGCTACTAGTTGGTGAATATTCTGATGTTATACATCTGGTTGCTCGTCGCTGTCCTCTCTCTAGAGATATAATGTCGACTTGATGATAGGGGTCCCATATGGTTGAGCAATATTCCAGTACCGATCTTACAAGAGGTTGATGAGCTGTGATCTTTAGCCTCCTGGGGCACTGACGTAAGTTACGCCTCAGAAAGCCGAGGGTTGAGTTTGCTTTACTGACAGTTTTGTTGATGTGTGTAGTCCACTTGAGGGAGTTACTGGTGATTACTCCTAAGTATGGATTACTGTTAACGTCTTCTAAAATGGTGTTACAGAGTTGATACATAGAGGTGCTTGAAACCTTGGATCTGGATACTCTGAGGATATAGCACTTCTTGGCGTTAAAGGACATTCCCCATTCCTGGGCCCATTGTTCCAATTAGTTGAGATCCGCTTGTAGTTGGATGTGGTCCTCGAGTGTGTTTATAGCTCTATAGAGTAGGCAATCATCTGCAAATAATCGCACTGGCGGTTTTACGCGTGATGGTAAATCGTTGATATGGATGAGAAACAAAACTGGTCCTAGACAAGTTCCTTGAGGTATTAAGTTCCTATAGTTAAACTCGAGTCGGGTCAGTAAATCTCCAGAGTGAATGGCCCAACCAGCTATAGTGAATTTCCATGGGGTCATTTTGTAAATATATCACTCTCTCCGACTTTTGAAGTTAGAATACAATATTAAATCATGCAAGGTTATGGCCTGATACAAATGTTCATCATATTAACAGGTTATCTTATTCTCATCTATTTTTGTAGGGGCGGTGGGGTAGCCTAGTGGTTAAAGCGTTGGCTCGTCACGCCGAAGGCCCGGGTTCGATTCCCCACATGGGCACACTGTGTTACGCCCATTTCTGGTGTCCCCCGCCGTGATATTGCTGGAATATTGCTAAAAGCGGCGTAAAACTAAACTCAGTCAGTCAGTCAGTCTATTTTTGTAATCTTTTGCTCAGTTTCTACATTCAATTTTCGGGCTAGTGATTTAATTTGTGGGCTAGTAACTTTCAGGAATAGCTAGCCTGACTGTCTTGCAAAATTTGGAAACTATTTCTCGCACTGTTAGTATAAGTGTCTTGTTCTCTTATATATGTAATATATGTTTAATCTCATTTATTCTCTCTTTATATTTTTATAGTGCTAATCAGTTGTGAGATATGATTTTCCCTTGCAATAACATCTTATCTACAATGTTCATGCACCCAGGGATTCCTGTGAGACTGGATGGTGTGGGGGAAAAGGAGCAGACGGCGGGGTGGTGTGTTACATGGATCTCCCGGCGGACTCCAGTCGCGCGCTGGTTAGAGGGAGACAACTCGTGGCTACAGGTGCGCTTTTACGGAAGTCCAATGAAGTGATGGCTGTGACGTCATAGCTAAGCTTGAATGGCGGAAGAGCGATGTAAAGAAATAAAGGTAAAATTCATTTTAACTTCCGCACACACGCAGAGTTGAGTTGTACGACGGTTAAACCGCATTGACCGCATGGTAGGCAGATTACGTTATCTACCATTGCAGTAGGACTTTAAGAACAGAGGCAGCTAAATCACGAGCTATCGTTTTAGAGGGAAATCCTCTCGATGTGGTCATCACAACAATGAACGGCGGGCGGCATGTGAATGTGGTGGCATGCGAGAGCGCAGTGCTGAGGACATTCCTCAACAAACTTTTGCGATATTCCAAATTATGCCGGGAACCTCGACTGGAACATGCATGCTGTTTAAAAATGTGTGTGTTGTTTCTCTACAAACAACAATCAACTCTCCCAGAAACACATCTTCCAACAACACTTGTATCACACCACAACAGTTAAACTGTTCTGTATTGCCATGGGGGGGTACTTTTAAAATCCATTTAGTGATTTTTTACAGTCAATGTTGGCCTACAGTATGCCAGAAACGTGGATAAGCCGAAGATGTGATGGTGTTGAAGAACTAGGCACTGACTGGATGATACTTAGAATCTTGAAATCAAGGCCGCTAACAAAACAAATCAGTATTTATCAATCTTACATGCAACCTCCACCACAGAGAGGTTAACTAAATTTATACATAAACATAGAATCTGCAAATAAGTTGATAGTGTACTTGGGCACGAGATAATCAACAACAATGTTGTTGTGCCATATTTAAATCTCTTGATGTTTTTTAAGATGTTCTGCGATGTTCTATCTGGTGTTATTCATGTCAATGTAACGTTGGTCATGAGTTTCCAGTGTTCCCGGTTCAGGGTTTAACCCTGGCCAAAGATGCAATTTAATATTAGTCTGGATGTATACTGGAATACATTACCATTGAAATAGTTTCATAGTTTCAGAAACAGTCATTTTAGTTCTTTACGTTGTGTAGATACTATAAACATGATAACAATGTTGTTTAGGCCAAATAACAATAATGTTGTGGTTCCGTTTACAGCTCGTTCAAATTTAGGGTAGGTAGGGAATTTTTTTTACATTTTTTTTAGAAGAAAAGTCCAAACAAATAAAACATTTATCAATGTGTAATTGTTTATCTAATCAAGCCTGCGGTCATAATGTCAATGTTTTTATCAGAACTGCTGATGCTGGGGAAAAACAATGGTATATGAATGGTTATTTTATTCATACTGCTAAAAAAAATAGGGTCGGCACCATAATTTAAGGGTGGGCCGGGTAATCGGAACCACATTTTTTTATTAGGCCTTATCAGTGGTAGATTTGGGTTATATGCTCATTAAACTACATGAGTTGCTGAAAAGGGAATACAATAAAATATGGCAAATATGATTTAGTGATTTTTTATAACAAATATACATTTTTGATGCCTGAAAGTGAAATTTTGTTAATGCAGTCCTATCCTGCTCATATTTTTCGCATTAGAGTAACTGAGAGAAACTATTTCCACAGCATGCATGGTGTACACCATCACAACATGTCGGTCTTCATTTTGAGATAATTTACAGAATTTTTTAACACATCCACTAGAAAATAGGACTGGGACACCCCCTATTACCCTAACCTACTCGATACCTGTTATGGTAATTCCTGACATCAATTTTGAAAGAAATGGCAATATATGCAGCTCGGCGGCTAATATTTCGAGTTTTTCAATATTGCAATCATGTATTATGTTCAAAACGGGAGACTGTAACTTATGTCTGGATCTTCAGGGGTAGCCTAATGGTTAAAACGTTTGCTTGCTTGTCACTCTTACTTAAGGCCTGGCTTCCATTCCCAAAATAGGTACAATGCAGGGATTTACTTTGAGTCCTGTATTTGAGGGTTCCTAGGACACTTACTCTTGAATTCCAGGGTTCCTGGACAACAAAATGGGGGTCCTGGACAACAACATTGGGGTCTTGGACAACAACATTGGGGTCCTGGACAACAACATGGGGTCCTGGACAACAACATGGGGGTCCTGGACAACAACATGGGGTCCTGGACAACAACATGGGGGTCCTGGACAACAACATGGGGGTCCTGGACAACAACATGGGGGTCCTGGACAACAACATGGGGGTCCTGGACAACAAAATGGGGGTCCCAGAGACTTAGATATTATTATTAATACTGTTATTGTGTTGTGTATCATGATCATCACATTATTTGTTACAGTAATTGAATTGCAAATCATTCCGTAACCCAGCTAGAAGCAAACTCTTTGATAACTTAGTGTTACTTGATCGGAATTTTTACAAAAAGTATTTGGACTTCTTCTGCGTCCCTGTGGATGCGCTTATATTTATGTTGTGTCAATTGTAAATGTTTCTGTGTGTAGGATGCAGGAATTCGCGTCCTGTAAATCCCTGTACAACGTGTGAAGCCCATTTCTGGTGTCCCCTGCCTTGATGTTGCTGTAATATTGCTAAAAGTGGTGGAAATGTTCACTCACTCATTTGGTCATGTGAAAACATCTAGTGTTGTGTGTCCATGCTGGTTTCACAGAAGTCATGGCGATCTGACAACTGCATCACATAGGGCCTCCCTCCCCATATTCAGCTGATACGTCACGATATGATTGAAATATTGCCGATGTGTCGTTAAATATTAACTCACTCACTCACTCCAGCTGATACCTTGCCCCTGTACGCAGTATTCTAGTTCATATGCTGAGACTGAATCTACAGAAATACTGCTGAGTGAGTGAGGTACAGGGTGGGTGTGGTTGTACAGGTTGGGTGAGGTTGTACTGGATGGGTGAGGTACAGTGTGGGTGAGGTTGTACAGGATGGGTGATGTACAGGGTGGGTGAGGTTGTACAGGTTGGGTGAGGTTGTACAGGATGGGTGATGTACAGGGTGGGTGAGGTTGTACAGGGTGGGTGAGGTGTACAGGTGTGGGTAATGTACAGTGTGGGTGAGGTTGTACAGGGTGGGTGAGGTTGTACAGGGGTGGGTGGGTACAGGTTGGGTGAGGTTGTACAGGGTGGGTGAGGTTGTACAGGGTGGGTGAGGTTGTACAGGGTGGGTGAGGTTGTACAGGGTGTGGGTGAGGTTGTACAGGGTGGGTGAGGTTGTACAGGGTGGGGGGGTGAGGTTGTACAGGGTGGGTGAGGTTGTACAGGTGGGTGAGGTTGTACAGGGTGGGTGAGGTTGTACAGGGTGGGTGAGGTTGTACAGGATGGGTGAGGTTGTACAGGGTGGGTGAGGATGGGTACACAGGGTGGGTGAGGTTGTACAGGGTGGGTGGGTACAGGTGGGTAATGTACAGGGTGGGTGAGGTTGTAAAGGGTGGGTAATGTACAGGGTGGGTGAGGCTGTAAAGGGTGGGTAATGTACAGGGAGGTTGGGTGGGTGATGTACAGGGTAGGTGAGGTTTTACAGGTTGGGTGAGGTTGTACAGGTTGGTTGAGGTACAGTGTGGGTGAGGTTGTAAAGGGTAGGTGAGGTTGTAAAGGGTGGGTGATTTACAGGGTAGGTGAGGTTGTAAAGGGTGGGTGATGTACAGGTTGGGTGAGTGCTGTACAGGTTGGGTGAGGTACAGTGTGGGTGAGGTTGTACTGGATGGGTGATGTACATTGTGGGTGAGGTTGTAAAGGTTTGGTGAGGTACAAGTTGGATGAGGTTGTACAGGTTCGGTGAGGTTGTACAGGGTGGGTGAGGTTGTACTGGATGGGTAAGGTTGTACTGGGTTTGTTAGGTTGTAAAGTGTGGGTAAGGTTCTGAGTTTGTTAGGTACCTGTACAGTGTGGGTGAGTTTGTACAGTGGGGGTAATGTTGTACAGAAGAGCTGAGATATTCTGTGTGGAAAATTTACGCTGGTCCTGTGGTCCCTGGCTAGTAAAATATCGTCAGGACCACAAAATGATAAGTTTGCAGCGGTCCTGGAGGCCAGTGAAGTTTGTATTGATAGTTAAGTAAATCTATGAATGCTATTTTGAAGTACTGACAGGGCCACTAATTACCTCTGGTGCGGAATTTTCAAACATTTCTTTCCCTGCTGTGTGGGCGAGTTTGTCCAGGGTTTTAAAGTTGTGGCAGAGGTACAGATAAGCTGCGTATCTGCGTAAATTATGCAAATATTTATGTGAAAATTCAATTCTTACTAAGTCTATTGTGTACAAGTACACTTGAATTTTTGTAAAAACTCAATATATTTGATCTTTCATGTGTACACACAAAATTGTCAAATGTTTGCTTGAGTACCGGTGCATAGATAAAATAATTGAGGTATATTGAGAGGTTCTGTTTGAACACATGAACTTGGCGGCTTGCAGTCTTTCTTTTTGTTTCTCCCATTACAGGTCAAATAGAAATAAGATTTAAACTTTATTATATTTTTACAATTAATGGAAAATGACAAAAATTAGGATACCCAATTGAGATGAATACAAGCGGGTACATAACTCAATGACCCAAAAAGTTATCTGTAGCTGTGTGTGGTACAGAAAGGCTGTGGTAATCTCGTCCTCGTTAATCCGAATCCACCGACTAACGAACGCTACTCACTGGGCACCAAACCATCTCCCTATATATTGTATGTAATTGACACCTCGTTAGTCCGATGATTCAGTTTCCGCCTCCGAACGCTGGTCAGTCGGAACGGATTGGACTAATTAAGTTGTAAACAGCTGCGTTAATCCGAACGATTGAAGTTGACCGCGCTGCTGACTGGTCCACCCACAGTGACACGTGGTTTGTTTAGCGACTCATCCCTTTGATCCCTTTATCGTAAAGCCTAACCAGTCCAGTTAACACTTTAACAACTTTTACTCCAAATATATTGAGTGAAAAGTGTCAATGTGTGTTGTTAAATATTCCGCTATGAATATGTACGGGTAAACATTTCACAAAGCAATGCATTTTCACTATGGCTAGCCAGCCTGCTAAGCGTAAACGCTTCGAAATTACTGCTGCTCAAAAAATGGAAATTTGCCTATACAAAGAAAGAAATCCTAAAGCAAGTTTCGAGTTTTTAAGTAAACATTTTGGCGAAGAATTCGGTCATTCTCTCAGCAAAACTACTGTCTTGGACATTTGGAAAAGTAAGGATAAGTGGCTAGATATTTCTGAAGATTCTCCATCTGTCACAAGAAAACCGAAATACTAAACATGCCTAATCAGAGGAAGCGCTTTATCTTTGGATGACAGAAATGAACACAAGAAATGCTTCAGTGAATGACCAAATGTTAACTGAGAAAGGCATGGAATTGGGCTCAAAATTAGGAATCACTGATTTTGGGTATTCTCGCGGTTGGCTTTACCGCTTCAAATCTCATCATCAAATTAAGAAACAAAATTATGAGGGAGAAGCTGCCAGTGCTGATAGGAATGCAGTAGTTGATGGTAGAGAAGATTTGAAATCAGTCTTGGAAAATTACGACGAAGACGACATCTTCAATCTTGACGAGACCGGCTTGTTTTATAAGCTTGGACCCAATCACACACTTTCCTCTAAGAAAACACCTGGTGTGAAGAAGTCGAAAGAAAGTGTGACAGTTGCATTATGCTCCAATGTAAGACCTTACAAGACCTTGCTGGTTTTGACAAAGACTTCAATCCAGAAATCTATGCTCGGTACCGTTTCAACAAGAAGGCGTGGATGACCTCTGACATGTTCTGTGATTGGCTGAGAACTTTTGATAGACAGTGTAGGTCACGTGGCCGTTGTGTGATACTTCTCGTGGACAATACAGCCAGCCACAATTGCAAACATGTGAAGCTGACAAATGTCAACGTTCACTCTCTTCCTCCCAACACTACATCCCGGATTCAGCCACTTGATGCTGATATTATTCGGACATACAAAGCTTATTTATTACAAGACCCGTGAAGATCCGGGATAGAATAGGTCTTCAGCAACCCATGTGCTTGCCATAAAAGGCGACTATGCTTGTCGTAAGATGTGACTAACGGGATCGGGTGGTCAGTTTCGCTGGCTTGGTTGACACATGTCATCGGTTCCCAATTGCGCAGGTCGATGCTCATTCTGTTGATCACTGGATTGTCTGGTCCAGACTCGATTATTTACAGACCGCTGCCATATAGCTGAGGTATTGCGGAGTGTGGCGTAAAACTAAACTCACTCACTATTTATTACAACAGATCATTAGTGAGACATTTCATCGCATGTGCTGAATACAACAAACCCCAGTGTATAAACCTAAGAGAAGCCTTGCGATTCGTGAAATCTGCATGGGCAGATGTTTCCTGTCAGACGATCAAGAACTGTTTCAAGCATGTCGAAATTCTGCCAAGTTAAGAATCCCAGACTGGTGAAACTGATGATCTCTAAGATGATATCGTGCTTGCCGACTTGAAAAAGCAACTTCAACGCCTCCCGTCTGATGATGAAAACATGTCGCCTGATGATTTCATTGATGCTGATGATAACGAAGAAACTTGTGATTCGCTGACTTCAGAGAACATCATAGAGATGGGGACAGCTGCAGATGATCAGACTGAAAGTGAAGAAGAGGAAGCAGACGACACGGTCACCTCTCCGTCTTTAACAGACATGAGACTGTACCTGGGTAACATCATTACGTACTACGAGTGCCAGGGTGACATCGAAATGCAGATAAAGCAATGGACATGCTCAATTCTTTAAAACAACCTTTGCAGCAGCCCACCATTAAAGACTACTTTTGTAAGTAAAATGTGTGAGTGAAACAATGTGTACTAAGTCCAGTGATTGTCTATGATGTTTTGTTTTGATTTCTTCACGTATCGATAGTAAGGAAAGACATCAAGGGGAAGTAACTCGGTGCATATACTGTGGTTTCAGCAGTACGAACGTTTCACTATCTGAACGTTCTTTTTAAAAAACCAAAGTGTTCGTATTAACGAGGTCTGACTGTATATGTTTGTTTTAGATGAGAGAGGTTTGTTTTGCCAAAGGAAGTCGTATTTGATGGTGGTGTGTCCCTGGGATTCCTCTTGTTGTCCCCGGCCGCAGCAATGAATGGTGGGGACTAAGTATTGTAAACCAAAAGTAACTGTGTTCTTTAATCTGATTGGTTGAAAAACATGATCGAATGGTATTCATTTCCCGGAAATTCGCTACTTATTAATACGTACAAACATCGCCCACACCATTGTATTGTTACGTCGTCAGCTGTGATGACGTCATTCAAATCATATTGTGACGTAAAGTCCGAATGACGTCACAAATGAGCAGTTCCAGATGCTACCATGGGAGACAGCCGAAACGGCCGACTGATGACATTTCACTGCTGTACCCATACACGATGTCAATGAGTGCAGACACCAAAACGCATGCGGACCTTTTGCTTTACGTCTGTGTTTACAATGTCGGCTCCAAATGAATTCTCGTGCTTCAAATACTCAATAACACCCGGAAATTGGCCAACACATGATGTTTATCTCTTAATTCAGCAACATCCGTACGTATGCGTTCCGATTCTTGTGCAGGATATATCTCATGAACTGTTGTACCCAATATCTTCAAACTTGGTGACAGCCTACATTAGCAGAGGGGGTTGGGGATTACACAGACACCAGTTTGGGTGACCTTGACCTTATTTTCAAGGTCTCCACAACACTTTGCCCTCATTTCAAACTTATGTACACACGATATCTCAAAACATTGGACCCAATTTGAGACTCTGTGCGGAAAGATATGGTCATTTCTTAGAAATTTGATGTCATGAATTAACATAACGGGTATCAGGGTAGGGTAGTCTAATTGGGAGTGAGGTACCCGAATTGAAAACTGGGACTCGTCCCAGCCCTTACACACACTGATACTGGTGAGGTGAGGTGAAATTAGGTTTAACGTCGTGCTTGAGAATATTTCGCTCATATGACGACGTGCATGCTCGTGTATGTGTATGTGCGGCTGCTTGTACCAGCCCAGACTGAAGCCGGTTTTATAGTGCTAGCCCACTGAGATACCATGCCGCAGTGAAGCATGAATACCCCACTCAGACACATTATACTGACTCCGAGCCGACCAGTCCTTGTTGTACCCATTAATGCCGAGCGCCAGGCAGGGACCAACAAGTACCATATTTTAACGTCTTTTTGGTATGACGCGGTCGGGGATCGAACCCGCGACCTTCCGCTCTCCGGGCGGACGCTCTAACCACTACACCACGGCGGCGGTCCACACTGATACTGACAGTGGGTATGTGTATCTGGATATATGCATTCAAATCTACTACATTCCTGCAATATCTACAGAGTTACAAGAAGTGACCATGACTAATAACTGCAACATACAAAAGCGTCTTGAGCATGTGTGGATATGTGCGCTATATAAATGTCCAATAATAATAATTAGAAAATAAAATAATTTTGTATGTGATCAAATGATAAAAACTAGTACATATGTTAAAGGTCACATGCAATCGAAAACACAACCTTGCAGATTCTGATACCTTAAGCTATGGACAAATGATCAAAAATGCAAATTCAACTTATAATAACCCCCTTGCGGAATCGGAGTTCAAACGATTCACTAAATTCACCTCCAGCAGGGGTGAACAGTTTTTTCAACAAACAGCTGTGCTGCGCTGGGCTGCACTACGCTCATGGCGCATGCGCAGTGAAAATGTGTCTGCCTGCCTGTCTGCTAATGACAATATGCAATACCAGTGTTCACAAATAGCGTCTGACCCTCTGACAAATCCGGTAGATTCGCCAACGGTCAGACAGAAGTCTACAACCCGTTGGCCCCAGTGTCTGACCGTATATTTCACAATGACTTTGACTGAAGTTGCTTTATGTGACATGTGACACTTGTTTGCTGTTTATAAATCTTATGTTTGTTAATAATTTCAATGTCAATTATAAGAAATGTTAAATCTGAAATGTGTGTCTAATTTTATTCCATGGGTCCTGTGCATTTTCAATTGGTCAGACAGACATCTGAAACTTACAGGACCGAATGTCCTGTGACTTTGAAACACCATTCGTGAACACTGAATACACAACTTCGATCACTGACAACTTGCAATTTGAACTTGACACCTATCAGGCTATACACCATAAACAAAACGCATTGATTTATGGCTCGTGCACCAGAGTTCTGTCTCTGTCACATTATGTAATTACACAGACAGGCAGGTGTGATAGTTGTACCCATGACATGTTATGATGTCTGTTGCTTGCAAAATGTTATACTCAAAAAAATGAGCATGTATTTACAAAACCCAACATCTCTATTACATTTGTCAGCAACTTCAACCTCTCATGGTCCCGTGAAGATCCAGGGTAGAATAAGTCTTCAGCAACCCATTCTTGTCATAAAAGGTGACTATGCTTGTCGTAAAATGCGACTAACGGGATCGGGTGGTCAGGCTCGTTAACTTGGTTGACACGTGTCATCAGTTCCCAATTGCGCAGATCGATGCTCATGCTGTTGATCACTGGATTGTCTGGTCCAGACTCGATTATTTACAGACCGCCGCCATATAGCTGGAATATTGCTGAGTAAGGCGTAAAACTAAACTCACTCACTCACTCAACCTGTCATAGTCTATTGTTGTCCTGACATGAGATTGTCTCTCTGTTACAGGAGCCAGTCTGGCTGGACTAGTCACTAAAGGTAAGGTGACCACATGTAATTCTGTTTCATAATTTTCATTTGTTTAACCAATAGATTTATTTACCTAGAATTCCAAATGTGTTCATTATTGCCTTAAAATTGTATATGTGTGGATTTTTGCCTTAGAATTGGTGTGGATATCTGATGTAGAGACCCTGTAAAGATCCGGGTTAGAATTGTGGATATGTGTTGAGTATTGACCTAGATTTGTACATGTGTAGAGTATTGACCTAGAATTGTACATGTGTGAAGTATTGACCTAGAATTTTACTTGTTTGGAGTACTGACCTAGAATTGTACGTGTGTGGAGTATTGACCTAGAATTGTACTTGTAGAGTATTGACCTAGAATTGTGAGTAGTACTGACCTAGAATTGTACGTGTGTAGAGTATTGACCTAGAATTGTACGTGTGTGGAGTATTGACCTAGAATTTTACTTGTGTGGAGTATTGACCTAGAATTGTACGTGTGTGGAGTATTGACCTAGAATTGTACTTGTAGAGTACTGACCTAGAATTGTACGTGTAGAGTATTGACCTAGAATTGTACATGTGTGGAGTATTGACCTAGAATTGTACATGTGTGGAGTATTGACCTAGAATTGTACATGTGTGGAACATTGACCTAGAATTGTACATGTGTTGAGTATTGACCTAGAATTGTACGTGTGTAGAGTATTGACCAAGAATTGTACTTGTTTGGAGTATTGACCTAGAATTGTACATGTGTGGAGTATTGACCTAGAATTGTACGTGTAGAGTATTGACCTAGAATTGTACGTGTGTGGAGTATTGACCTAGAATTGTACTTGTAGAGTACTGACCTAGAATTGTACCTAGAATTGTACGTGTAGAGTATTGACCTAGAATTGTAGCGTGTGTGGAGTATTGACCTAGAATTGTACGTATGTGGAGTATTGACCTAGAATTGTACATGTGTGGAGTATTGACCTAGAATTGTATGTTTGTGGAGTATTGACCTAGAATTGTACATGTGTAGAGTATTGACCTAGAATTGTACATGTGTGGAGTATTGACCTAGAATTGTACATGTGTGGAACATTGACCTAGAATTGTACATGTGTTGAGTATTGACCAAGAATTGTACTTGTTTGGAGTATTGACCTAGAATTGTACATGTGTGGAGTATTGACCTAGAATTGTACGTGTAGAGTATTGACCTAGAATTGTACTTGTGTGGAGTATTGACCTAGAATTGTACATGTGTTGAGTTCGCTATATCGCTTGAACGGTGCAACCGGATAACGTTCATCACCAGTAGCCCAAGCTTTGGGACTTACGTTTTGAACACCATCTTTGCTGTCGCCCTGATAAGTTTTGGACTGTCTTTCCTGAAATTCAAGAAATTCAGTTCCATCCCGGTCAGTCTTCAAGGAGACGCCACCCCACTTCATGTCATAGTGTGGCTTCACACTACGGATTCCGAAGAAGGTTGTATTGATCCCCCAAAGTGAATTTAATACATCTTCGGGATATCTCGCTTAAAGTTGTCCGGTTTGCCAAAGTTTGTCAACATCTTCATCAGGCAGGGCTTCTGAACGTTTAGGTACTTTCCTTTTCCCTCACTCGTGAGAACCTTCTGTATTGTTTTCACAACATCAGTCAGCTTAGAAACTGCAGAATCACTATACAGCCATTCACCGTAGTTCCTTCATTTCAGGTGTCTGTCAAAGCTTGAAATCATCGACTTCAAACAGTGCTCGTGGTTTGTGCCGTCAGTTTTAGTTACACCGATGACGAAACAGCATAGGATGTTACAAAGTTCATGTTTGGCGATTGGTTTCAGTAGGACGTAAATCCCCCTTGCTCTCCATGAACGATCCTAGACACTTCATGTCACATTTTGGTTTTTTTACTGTATTCACGTTTCTGTTGTCAGCGAATTAAGTATCAATGTTTGTATAGTCAGAAGTGTATGGCTCTTCGAAAACGTCATCGTTCATCAAATCTCTTAGCACTTCAGAGGGTAGATGAACCTGGCGACATTGGTTTACTTCGAGTCTCGGCTATTTTCATGCATCGAAATCGAGGTACTTGCCTAATTTCTCCTGAAACCAGTTTCATGTTGTAGAGTCTGTAAGTCCCTTAAGGCTGAATTATTGATTCCACTCTTCCCCGGTCCTTCCCATCTATAGAAACAAAGTCAGTTACATTGAGACTGTAATTCATGATGACAAGTCAAGCAGACGATGGCGGATGGAAACAAAAGGGGAGATAACTTTGTCACGACTACTTTATATATGAAAGTAAATAATTTAAAATATTCAATTGAAAAATAATACTAATCCCCAGTACACAGAAATTGGATTGTAATTATCCACAAACCTAACGTTTTGTTTGGTTTACAGTTTTGGAGAAAAACTGCTTGAGTAGTTATAATGTGAATTTAAGATATCGAGGTGGCAACAAAAAGGTCACTTGCACTCGATCAGCTGATTGTAAAAGTAGTTCGGCATTATGACGTCACTAACATTGAATAACCTTGTTTGATTTCACAACATTTGTTGAATAACTTTCACCTGGTTACACAACACCTGTTCCAAATAACCAAAATTATCTCATAAACAATCAGAACACATGTGTAATAAATCTCTGTTGCTCATTCTGGATATAATGTCAATAGATTTCTGTTACCCATTCTGGATATAATGTCAATAGATTTCTGTTACCCATTCTGGATATAATGTCAATAGATTTCTGTTTCTCATTCTGGATATAATGTCAATAGATTTCTGTTACCCATTCTGGATATAATGTCAATAAATCTCTGTTTCTCATTCTGGATATAATGTCAATAGATTTCTGTTACCCATTCTGGATATAATGTCAATAGATTTCTGTTTCTCATTCTGGATATAATGTCAATAGATTTCTGTTTCGCATTCTGGATATAATGTCAGTAGATCTCTGTTTCTCATTCTGGATATAATGTCAATAAATCTCTGTTTCTCATTCTGGATATAATGTCAATAGATTTCTGTTTCTCATTCTGGATATAATGTCAATAAATCTCTGTTTCTCATTCTGGATATAATGTCAATAGATCTCTGTTGCTCATTCTGGATATAATGTCAATAAATCTCTGTTACCCATTCTGGATATAATGTCAATAAATCTCTGTTACCCATTCTGGATATAATGTCAATAAATCTCTGTTTCTCATTCTGGATATAATGTCAATAGATTTCTGTTACCCATTCTGGATATAATGTCAATAGATTTCTGTTTCTCATTCTGGATATAATGTCAATAGATTTCTGTTACCCATTCTGGATATAATGTCAATAAATCTCTGTTACCCATTCTGGATATAATGTCAATAGATTTCTGTTTCGCATTCTGGATATAATGTCAGTAGATCTCTGTTTCTCATTCTGGATATAATGTCAATAAATCTCTGTTTCTCATTCTGGATATAATGTCAATAGATTTCTGTTTCTCATTCTGGATATAATGTCAATAAATCTCTGTTTCTCATTCTGGATATAATGTCAATAGATTTCTGTTACCCATTCTGGATATAATGTCAATAGATTTCTGTTTCTCATTCTGGATATAATGTCAATAGATTTCTGTTTCGCATTCTGGATATAATGTCAGTAGATCTCTGTTTCGCATTCTGGATATAATGTCAGTAGATCTCTGTTTCTCATTCTGGATATAATGTCAGTAGATCTCTGTTTCTCATTCTGGATATAATGTCAATAGATTTCTGCTTCTCATTCTGGATATAATGTCAATAGATTTCTGTTACCCATTCTGGATATAATGTCAATAGATTTCTGTTTCTCATTCTGGATATAATGTCAATAGATTTCTGTTTCTCATTCTGGATATAATGTCAATAGATTTCTGTTACCCATTCTGGATATAATGTCAATAGATTTCTGTTACCCATTCTGGATATAATGTCAATAGATTTCTGTTTCTCATTCTGGATATAATGTCAATAGATTTCTGTTACCCATTCTGGATATAATGTCAGTAGATCTCTGTTTCTCATTCTGGATATAATGTCAGTAGATCTCTGTTTCTCATTCTGGATATAATGTCAATAGATGTCAGTAGATCTCTGTTTCTCATTCTGGATATAATGTCAATAGATCTCTGTTTCTCATTCTGGATATAATGTCAATAAATCTCTGTTACTCATTCTGGATATAATGTCAATAAATCTCTGTTTCTCATTCTGGATATAATGTCAATAGATTTCTTCTCATTCTGGATATAATGTCAGTAGATCTCTGTTTCTCATTCTGGATATAATGTCAATAGATTTCTGTTTCTCATTCTGGATATAATGTCAATAAATCTCTGTTTCTCATTCTGGATATAATGTCAATAGATTTCTGTTTCTCATTCTTGATATAATGTCAATAAATCTCTTTTTCTCATTCTGGATATAATGTCAATAGATTTCTGTTTCTCATTCTGGATATAATGTCAGTAGATCTCTGTTTCTCATTCTGGATATAATGTCAATAAATCTCTGTTACTCATTCTGGATATAATGTCAATAAATCTCTTGTTACCCATTCTGGATATAATGTCAATAGATCTCTGTTACCCATTCTGGATATAATGTCAATAGATCTCTGTTACCCATTCTGGATATAATGTCAATAAATCTCTGTTACTCATTCTGGATATAATATCAATAGATCTCTGTTACCCATTCTGGATATAATGTCAATAAATCTCTGTTACTCATTCTGGATATAATGTCAATAGATCTCTGTTACCCATTCTGGATATAATGTCAGTAAATCTCTGTTACCCATTCTGGATATAATGTCAATAAATCTCTGTTACCCATTCTGGATATAATGTCAATAAATCTCTGTTACCCATTCTGGATATAATGTCAATAAATCAGTAGATCTCTGTTTCTCATTCTGGATATAATGTCAATAAATCTCTGTTACTCATTCTGGATATAATGTCAATAAATCTCTGTTACCCATTCTGGATATAATGTCA